CCTCTCCTTGATTCAGGCGGAGGAGGAGGATGGGGAGGAGGAGGAGGAGGAGGAGGAGGAGGACCACTGTACACCAACGACGCGTCAACGATGTTGCCATGAACCTTCCCTCCAAGCTCCCGCCCCACACGTCCCTACAGAAATTTACTTTTAGTGCGGGAAGTGCCCCATGTAAGACAACTGTCTGAGATTCTTCAACCGTGCCAAAACACAATTCCTAAAACGTCAGTGCCGCGAAACAATGTGACACTTGCGTCCTGACCGTCCTAAAACGTGCCAGAACACCATTCCTGTGATCCCAGCACAGCGAACCAACGTGACTGTTGCATCCTGACAGCCCTACATCGCGCCAGAGCGTCATTCTTGGGACTTCAACCATACGAATCCGTGGAGCTGCTGCCAACTTTCAAGACACATGTGCACGGCGCTATGGCGGGCACCACGGTTTGAAAAGGAACCGCCCTCCGTCCTTGAAGTTGTTGCAATATGTTGCGGCGGATGTGCGCGGCGCTAGGGCGAGAACCATGTATTAAGAAGGACCTGCCTTCCATCCTTGAAACTGTTGCAAGATGTTGCGACGAATGTGCGCGGCGCTAAGGCGCGAACCACATCTTGAAAAGGGCCCGCCCTCCATCCGAGAAGGTGCTGCAAACATTAGACGAGTGTGCGCGCGAAGGCGAGTCACTACGAAAACCAGCCGCCCTCCATCCTTGAAGCTGATTCAAACTTTTAAGACGAATATGCGCGGCGCTCTGGCGAGAACCACATGTTGAACACCCTGTCCTCTTCCCGTGAAGCCGTTGCAGATCGCAAGCAATGCCTGGCCCGCCCTACGGACACGTCTGCGGGTGCGACAGGCAGGAGTTAGTTGTAAGACAAATTTGTCAATGATGAAGAAAGAGGCGGGAGGAGGAGCAGGAGGAGCAGGAGGAGGAGGAGCAGGAGGAGGAGGAGGAGGAGGAGGAGGAGGAGGGAGGAGGAGGAGGAGGAGGAAGAGGAGGAGGAGGAGGAGGAGGAGGAGGAGGAGGAAGAAGGAACCTGATCTCCCCCCCCCCGCCATCGTCCTCGCACCCCCGGCGGCGTCGGCGCCCTCTGCCTGTTGTGAATGGGCGACGCGACGTGGAACAGAGGGAGGAAGGGACTATGATGATGATGATGATGATGATGATGATGATGATGATGATGATGATGATGATGATGATGATGCTGATGCTGATGCTGATGCTGATGCTGATGCTGATGCTGATTGCTGATGCTGATGCTGATGCTGATAGCTGATGCTGATTATGGCTGATGCTGCTGATGCTGATGCTGATGCTGATGCTGATGCTGATGCTGATGCTGATGATGCTGATGCTGCTGCTGATGCTGCTGCTGCTGATGATGATGATGATGATGATGATGATGATGATGATGATGATGATGACGATGATGATGATGATGATGATTATGATGATTATGATGATTATGATGATGATGATATGATGATGATGGTGGTGGCGGTGATGATGATTATGATGATGATGAGGATGATGATGATGATCATGATCATGATCATGATGATGATGATGATGATGATGATGATGCTGCTGATGATGATGATGAGGAGGAGGAGGAGGAGGAGGAGGAGGAGGAGGGAGGGAGGGAGCGAGGGAGGGAGCGAGGGAGGGAGGGAGGAGGGAGGGACGGATGGATGGATGGATGGATGGATTGAGTCCTCCCAGCGACGAGGCATTGTGGGGGCGCGGGCACGGCCCCTTTAGCAGAGAGCAGCCGGGCCGAAGGACGGCGACCGCCGCGATCCCGCAGCCTCCGCTCAGCAGCCGCGCGGCCGCCGCCAGCACCTCCCAGCGGCCGTCGTCCGCCGCGCTGGTGCATCTCTCTGCTGTGGTTCTCCTGCAGCAGGCCTCGTGCTGCCGCCACGCGGATCAGGGCCCGCACGGTTGCGCGTTGTGTGCTGGCCCGCTTGTGCAAGGCTGGTTCCGCCCCCGAGAGCCTGGCGGTTCAACTTTGTCGAGCCGGGCGCTTTCGCTTTTTGTCCTGGCCTTGTGGCCCTCACATATCGATCTGGCTCGCAAGAGGACGCGGGAAGACGGGGTCTCTAGGGCTCTGGGTGTGATTTCTTGCGATGTTGCCATTTTTCGCGATTTGTTAAAGGATTAACGACTTCTGCCGTCCTTCGACTCGCGCTGGGGCGGCCGCGAGTTGCTCCAACTTTCCCTGGGGGTCTCTGAATTTACATGGAGTTACCCGGATTCATTCAATGCTTCTTGGACTTACCTGGATTTCTTTCGACTTATCTGCGTTAATTTGGATTTATCTGGCTCGATCCCCACACGTCGATTGGCGAAAAGTCGACAAGCCCTGAGGGAGCTACGTCGGACTTCAGGGGCCTCGCGAGGCGGAGGGAGCCCCCGTCCGCGCAGGCCCGGCGGCGGCCGCGCGGCAGCGGGCGGATCCTGGCCCGGCGCCCGCCCGCCGCACGGGACGCGGGCCAGCGCGCAGGGCTGCTGCCCCGAGCGAGGTTCGCGGATAGTTCGTGTCCGCGCCCAGAACTTGGAGCCCGAGCCGCCGCTCAGGAGGGAGGGAGGGAGGGAAGGGAGGAGGGTGAGAGGGAGTGAGGGAGGGAGGAGGAGGGAGGGAGGGAGGGGGGAGGGAGGGAGGGAGGGAGGGAGGGAGGGGGAGGAGGAGGAGGAGGAGGAGAGGAGGAGGAGGAGGAGGAGGAGGAGGAGGAGGAGGAGGAGGAAGAGGAGGGAGGAAGGAGGAGGAGGAGGAGGGAGGAGGAGGAGGAGGAGGAGGGGGAGGAGGAGGAAGAGGAGGAGGAGGCGGAAGAGGAGGCGGAGAGGAGGAGGAGGAGGAGGGAGGAGGAGGAGCAGGGGAGAGAGGAGGAGGAGGAGGAGGAGAGGAGGGAGGAGGAGGAGGAAGAGGCAGGAGGAGGAGGAGGAGGAGGAGGAGGAATAGGAGGAGGAGGAAGGGAGGGGAGGAGGAGGAGGAGGAGGAGGAAGAGGGGAGGTAGGGAGGAGGAGGAGGAGGAGAGGAGGAAGAGGAGGAGGAGGAGGAGGAGGAGGAGGAGGAGGAGGAGGAGGAGGATGAGGAGGAGGAGAGGAGGAGAGGAGGGGGAGGAGGAGGAGGAGGAGGAGGAGGAGGAGGAAGAGGAGGCGGAGAGGAGGAGGGAGAGGAGGAGGAGGGAGGAGGAGGAGGAGGAGGAGGAGGAGGAGAGGAGAAGGAGGAGGAGGAGGAGGAGGAGGAGGAGGAGGAGGAGGAGGAAGAGGAGGAGGAGGAGGAGGGAGGAGGAGAGGAGGGAGGAGGGTGGGGGCAGGAGGGAGCAGGAGGGAAAAGCGAGGGAGGGAAGGAGGATGAGGCGGCGAGTAGGAGGAGGAGGAGGAGGAGGAGAAGGAGGAGGAGGAGGCGGAGGGACCAGTGTAAACCCAAGACTCGTCAACGATGTTTGCCTAAACCCTCGCTCCAGGCTCCCTCTTCATAGTCCCCTACAAGGATTCGTTTCCACTGAGGGAACTGCCTCGTTGGGAGCCAACCGTTTGAAGACCCAGAATCGTGCCAAAACATCATTCTCGGGACTCCAACGCCACGGATCAACCTGACTGTTGCGTCTTGGCGATCCTGAGTCGCGCCTGAGCGCCGTTCTTGGGACTTCAATACCGCATATTCACGTAACTGTTGCACCCTCACAGTCCAGAGTCTTCTCAAAAACATCATGTGTGGTACGTTGACCACGGGAACCCGTGAAATTATTGCAACTGTTAAGACGAATGTGCGCGGCGCGAAGCCAAGAGCCACATGTTGAAAACCAACCGCCCTCAATACGTGAAGCTCTAGCATGTGTTTAAGACGAATGCGCGAGGCGCTAAGGCGAGAGCCACAGTTTGAAAACGACTCGCCGTCAATCCGTGAAACGCTTGCACTTTCTTCAAACGAGTGTGCGCTGCGCTCAAACGAGAGCCACATATTGGAATATACCCGCCCTCCATCTGTGAAACTGTTGCCAAGGTTTTAGCTTCAGGGTCATAAGTGGTGAGTTACTCAAGCGAAACGCCTGGCCCGCCTGTTCGACAGGCCTCGGGGTGCGACAGGGAGGAATTGTTCATAAAGAAAAAAGGAATGGAAGGAGGAGGGAGGAGGAAGCAGGAGGGGGCAGGACGGAGGGAGGGAGGGAGGGAGGGAGGCAAGGAGGGAGGGAGGGAGGGAAGAGGAGGAGAAGGAGGAGGAAAAGGAGGGAGGAGGAGGTCGGGTCGGGCACAGTTTGAAGGCGGAGCCCTAAGCTGTCTGGTGTGAGGCTTTCACCGAGCCTCACGGCCCTTACCTTGGTGCCCTTCTCCGCCAGCACGCTGCTGGACAGGGGGGGGCGAGATTGAACTGTCGCGGGTAGCCTGTCCTCGAAGAGGACCGCCCGCGGTCTGGGCACGGCGGGTTTAGGGTTGCAGCCGCGCTCCTCGATGCGCAGGCACGGGGGCGTGGGCCAGCGGCCCTTCCTAGCCGGGACCTGCTCGTCCTCCCCTGGCCTCTGGCCGAGCTCCTCCATCCCCGCGTCGGAGATCCACATCCCCGGCAAGGCTCCACTGGCTCCGCGCTGGAGTTCGAGAAAACCCGCTCGCGGACGAAGCCCACGCTGACCGCCATGTCGATCAGTGTCGCCCTCCCCAGGCAGCGCTGAGGACCTGATGTGCCGGCGCCGCCGCGGCAGCCATGGAACCCTTCCGGCCCGCACGCAGAGCCACCTCCAGGACATCGTCGTCGTCGAAATCGGAGGAGGAGGAGGAGGAGGAGGAGGAGGAGGAGGAGGAGGAGGAGGAGGAGGAGGAGGAGGAGGAGGAGAGAGGAGGGAGGAGGGAGGAGGGAGGAGGGAGGAAGGAGGAAGCTGGAGGGAGGAAGGAGGAAGCCGGAGGGAGGAGGGAGGAGGAGCCGCGCTGCCCCGAGAGCGGCGCCTCACGACGCTGCGGCGCCGCGGCTCCGCCGCCGCGCTTCGCCGCCGTGGCCGCCGCAGCGCCGCGGCGCCCCGCCTGGGCGGGGCCGCCCTGGGGCGCTCCCCGGCGGGCGCTCCCCTGGAGGCGGTCGCGCTCTTCGGGGCGGCCGCCACCGTCGCCGCCGCCTCTCGCCGCTTGTGTCCTCGCCCTTCGTCCCCTGCAGTGGAGGCCCATGCCAAGAAGCACCCTGCTCGCCTCCAGGGTGCCCTGGGTTTCTTGGGTTTCGATGGTGCTGCCACGGAGAGCGTGGCGTTTTCTTGCCAGAATCCAGGGACGTGCTGGGATCTCAGGGTTGGGTTTCTTGTGGAAGGTTTCTTGTGGACTGGTCTCCACGAGTCTCCGGTCACCTGTCCTCGCCGCCGCCGCCCCCGCCGCCCCAGCCGCCGCCGCCGCCACCGCCACCGCCGCCGTTGTCGTCGTCGTCGTCGTCGTCGTCGTCGTCGTCGTCGTCGTCGTCGTCGTCGTCGCCGAAGTCGTCGTCGCTGGCTCTTGGTCGTCGTCGCTCGCTCGCTCTTCTGGCCTCTGGCCTACGCCGCGAGAGCCGATGGACGTTCTCGCAGGTTTGCGGAGGTGTTTGGATGTGCTGCGGAGGGTTCCGGAGGGCGGCAGGGCCAGAGAACAGGGCAGGCCGAGAGAATTTGCCCCCTCTGGAGCCCTCCCGCGGTTTTGGATGGCCGTACCCCTCGCGCCACCCCCGTGCGCGTGCCGCCACGCTCTGGAGGCAGGAGGGAAGAGGACGAAGATCCGCCCTTTCTTGGAGAGGCCCTTGTCTTTCGGCCGGCCCAGCCGTTCCCCTCGGTCTCTCGGCATTGGCAGCAGTTCCTCCTCCATTCCCCCCCCCCTTCCCCTCCTGCTGCAGCTCCTTCTCCTCTTCCTCCTCCTCCTCCTCCTCCTCCTCCTCCTCCTCTTCCTCTTCCTCCTCCTCCTCCTCCTCCTCCTCCTCCTCATCATCATCATCATCATCATCATCCTCTTTCTTACTCCAACTCCCCCCCAACCGAAATCTATTTAAGATCAGCTCCCGACCCAGAAACCTCCCGAGAATGGCTTCGACTGTCTTGGGGCTCCCGAAGGGCCCCCGAGGAGGGCGTGCGCGCGCGAGAGTCGTCAGGAAGCACGTGACCACCACCGCCGGAGTTCAGTGGGAACGCTCCTGCGGCCGCCAGCTTGCGTTGCAAAGCTGACCACCGCTCGGCTTTTGTCCACTCCTGGACCCGGCGGTGGAGGTGGCCGAATGCCTGGCGTCCAGCGAGCGTCGATGGCAGAAACATGATGACCGCGACCAAGATGTCGCGGGTTTTGCCGACGCCGATCTTGTTCGTGGTCCATGCCGGCAGCCGCCAGCTCGCGAAACTGATCTGCGAATTGACGATGGCCAAGATTCAGGAGGGAACAAAAACACGCAGACACAATTTATCGTCGATTCCCAGGAAGATATAGGAAAATATGGGAAGTGGGCGGGAAGACGAAAACCCAGAAAACATGGAAGAATATTGGGAATCCTGGGATCTGTGTGTACTTGTTTGTGTGTCTTTGGGCCCCTTGAGAGATGGGCGATGACCAAGATCGACGCCGACATGTCCGTGCGCGGTGGGCGGCGAGCACAAAGGGCGTGGCGCAAGAGGGTTGGCCTCCTGAGCAGGCGGCGCGTTTCTTGGAAGGCAAAAACGCTCTTCGAAGGTTCCTGGAGGCTTCTACAAACCTCGTCAAAATTAGCCCCCGTGTTCTCCTCCTCCTCCTCCTCTTCTCTCCCCTGTCCCTCTGGAGCGTACCTGGCCCTTTGGGGGGTGCAGTGGAGACGCGGAGGCCACAGGAGATCCCAGGGCGCCCCCATAGATCCCACAACCCTCGTCAACAAAAAGTCTAGAAAATGTCCTACGTGATTGAACTGTTTGTGGGGAGATACTGGACAGGGTTGCGGTGACTGCGAGGTACTTGTATGCGCCGCCCCTTCCAGTGTCGGTCATCATCGAACTTCCGAGTCGTTCCCGGTCAGATCATTTTTGCCCTAGCCCCAGTATTGGAGGGGCGTCTATCGACATTGAAGGGCGCGCCGACATCGCAGGGGCGTGGTCGCTATTTTTGAGATTAATTTTGACGCTGGTAGTAGGAAGGCTTCTCTGAAGCCAGGAGGGCTTCTCAGAAGGCCCCTGCCTTCTTCGAAGCTCGCCCTCCTTCTAAGGCCGCCCCCTCGCGCTACCCCTTTGTGCGCGTCGCCCCTTTCCCCGACTCTGGACCCACCCTGCTTTGGGCGATTTCGTAAGTAGGGCGGAGCTATCCGCCCTACTTTTTCAAGCTCCTCTGATGCCTATTTCCGCCCGCCGTCGTTGTATCCGCCAAACCTTTGCGGAAATATCCGCCTCGTCACTTTGAGGCGGAGATGTCCACCTTGTTTTTTCGCATCCTTTGGGGTGCCCTCTCCGACACCACTGCAAGTAGGAGAAGCCACCAGAAGTGCGGCGGATCCGGAGTCCGGGTTGCGCTCGCCGCCAACTCCGCTCTGGGTCATAGTCCTCGTCTCCCTCTCCCAGCAAAGTAGGGCGCCAGGACCTGCACACGTCCACCGCCGCTGGCCAGGCCAAAGTTTGGGCCCAGGAGCGGTGTACACGCCCGGCGGTGGATGTGTTCAGGTGCTCGATGATGGAACCCTTGCTGAGCGCAACCAGCCAGCGTTCGAGCCGAAGACCGCTGGAAACCATCAAAGACCGCGGGAAACAGCCGAAGACCATCAGAAAGCCGCGGAAGTCCGCCGAAGTTCGCCCGAAGACCGCCGAAGACGGCCCAGAAGCAACGGGCAACAAGAGGCCCATGGCCGAGCACGTAGGATATGCATGGATCTCGTCGCCATGCAACTGAGAGAGAGAGAGAGAGAGAGGTGCGCCGGTGCTGGCAAGGAGGCGTCGTGCAGTCATCGTGCTGCACCATGCCAGGTGCCGAATATATATGTGTGTATATATGTGCCTATATATATACAGATAGATAGATAGATCGATAGGGGGGGCGAGGGGGCCTTCCTGGCCGCGGCGAGCCTTGGCCGCGAGCAGGCCCCCCGACCCAGAGCTGGGGAGCGGCCTGGGAGCCAGAGCCCCTCCTCGGCTCAGCGCGGTGCGCGGTGCCGCGCCTCCGCTGCGTGCAAGTGGGAGCCCTCGGCCGGCCGTACAACTGAGAGAGAGAGAGAGAAAGCTCAGGAGGGGGAAGACACGCACACTGACACAGACACACACAACTCATCGTCGATCCTGCAGAAGGTATGGGAAAACGTGGGAAGTGGAGGGGAAGACGAAGATCCACAAAATGTTAGAGAGTATGGGAGGATCCTGGGATTTGTGTGCGGATTGATCTGCGTGTCCCTGGGCCCCCCCTCAAGAGCGAGAGGCGCGCCAGCCGGCGCTGCGATGGGGCGCGCCGCCCGGCGTCCGGGTGCCCGGGCGCCGGGCGCCAGGGGGCGCCGCTTGCTGCTGGCGGCGCTGGCGGCGCCGGGCGCGGGCGACGAGTTTCACGTGGTCTACGAGGACGTCGTCGTCGTCGGAGGAGGAGGAGGCGGAGGAGGAGGAGGAGGAGGAGGAGGCGGAGGAGGAGGCGGAGGAGGAGGAGGGAGGGGGGGAGGAGGAGGAGGAGGAGGAGGAGGAGGGAGGAGGGAGGAGGAGGCGGTGGAGGAAGAGGAGGAGGAGGAGGAGGAATGTGCGCCGCGCCAAGGCAAGAGCCTCATTTTGAAAACGGCCCGCTCTTCACCAGTGAAGCTGTTACAAATTTCAATATTCAGGATTATTTGCGGCGAGTAAGTCTCAGGCGACACACCCGGCCGGCCCAACCGACATGTCTGGGGGTGGGTCAGGGAGGCGTTATTGAATCGCTTCGCTCATTCCGCCGGTCCGTATTGTGCCATCGTTGGCGTTTGCGTGCGCGTTCATGGGCCATGCGGAGCTGCTGGTCGGCGCTGCTGCGGTTGTGGGTGAGAGTCATCATGGATGCTTCTCGGTGCCTATTCGGAGGGTTCCGGAAGGACCTGGTTGGTTTCGCAGTTGCATTTGATTCCCGTAAAGTCCCGATCAGTTTTTGATTGTTTGGAAGTGGTTCCCTCGCAAACAGCCAGTTCGCAAGTCAAGTGGCGACCCATCTGAAAAGAAGCTCCAATGGCATGTTGTGCGAGCAAGTCCCGAGCGAAGTCGCCATTTCTTGATGGCATGGCAAACCTTTCGATCGCCCCGGAGGGGCGACCATAATTTTTTGAAGACTTATCGGGAGGAATGCCATTGTCTGATTTGGACCCCAACTCGCCTTCATAGTATCAGAAAGAGTGAGGGATGCATCAGAAACTCCGCAATTCGCCTTGAAACCAATATTGTCCTGGGGCTCCGCGGCCGAACGGGAGCCCAGCCATGCCTTCATCGATACCTGGAGCCAGCGCTTTTTCATCCAGCAGGTTGACCGCCGCCAGCGCACGGAATCATGCCACTTTCAAAGCGTCGCGCATGCCCCGCATCACCGCGCACATGATTCGTCCTGGCAGCGGTCGAATTTACCACGTCGGAGCGGGCATGTTCTGAATTCACATTCATTTTGCGCACGTGTTCCGTCTCACGTTTGCGTTAATTTTTACCGCGTCCGAGCGAGCGTTTTTTGCAACCACGCTTCTTGTTAAAAAGGGATGATCGGCACTCCACGAGGGCGGCTTAGAAAGCGACTGAACCTGTTTTCCCGGGAAGTCCCAAGCAGAACCGCCACATTCAGGTGACATGCGAAGCAATCAGGCATGTTGTGCGAGGAAGTTTGGAGCGAAATCACCCCTTCTTGATGGCATGGGTAATCATCTGATCGCCCTGGAGGGAGACCTGCATTTTTTGTTCACGAAATAGTGGCGGAATGCAACTTTCTGATGCGGGCCCCACCTTGTCTTTATCATAAGAGAAGGGGGGAGAGCTGCATCAGAAACTCTGAAATTAGCTTTGATTCCAACATTGTCCCAAGGCCCCGCGGCCGAACGGGAACCCAGTCATGTTTTCCTCGACCCCCGCGGTCAGCATTCTTAAATTCAGCAGGGTGTCCGCCGCCAGCGCACGGCAGTATGCCAAGTTCACACGTTTTCCATGCTCCACATTACCCCGCACGTCATTTGTCTTACGACAGAGGTCGAATTTACCACGTCGGGGCGAGCGTTGTCTGCAGTCATGTCACCTTCACCTGTTACCCATGCTCCAGAATACCGCGCACATCTTCCAGCTTGCCACAGCGTAAATTTACCACGTCGGAGCGAGCCTTTGTTTGCAACCACCATGACACAGTAGTGATCGGCATTCCACGAACCTCTGCGTATAAAGCGATTGGACATCTCTTGCGAGGAGCTCCCAAGCGGAACCGCCACTCAGGCGGCATGAGAAGCACTCAGGATGTTTGTGCGATGAAGTCCCGAGCGAAGTTGCAATATCCGAATGACATGGCCATGTTCCTGATCACCTTGGAGGGCGACCCGAGTTCTTTCAGGACGTATTGGGCAGAATGGCATCGTCCGATGCGGGCCCCAAGTGGCCTTGTTAATATCAAAAGAGGTGAGGGACGCATCAGAATCTCCGAAATTAGCTTTAAGTCCAACATTGTCCTGGGAGCCCTCCTTGGCCCAGCGGGTTGGCCGCCGCCAGCGCACGGAAGACATGTGGAAGTATGTTATGTTCCAATGTCGCCCATGCTCCACAGTACCGCGCACATCTTTTGTCTTACGACAGTGGTAGGACTTGCGACGTCGAAGCGAGCGGTTCTTGTAAGTATGCCGCTTGCGGTAAATTTTCCACGTCGGAGCGAGCGTTGTTTGCAACCACCCCCTGGATTACAACGTGGTGATTTGGCACTCCACGAGGGCTGCGTGGAAAGCGACTGGATACTTTTCGCGGGATGGAATCTCAAGCGGAATCGCCACTCTCAGGTGGCATGGGAAGCTCTCAGAAATTGTGTGCGAGGAACCTCCGAGCGAAATCGCAATTTCTTGGTAGCATGGCAGTGTTCCTGATCGCTTTGGAGGGCGACCCCATCTCTTTCAGGTCATAGTGGGCAGAGTACCATTGTGTGAAGCGGGCCCCAAGTGACCTTGTTGATACCAAAAGAGATGAGGGACGCATCAGAAACCTCGAACTTAGCTTTAAGTCCAACCTTGTCCTGGGGGCCCGCGGCCGAACGGGAACATGTTTTTCTCGACCCCTGCGGTACGCCTTTTTCTTATTCTTCCGGGCTGACCGCCGCCAGCGCACGGCATTATGTCATTTTCGAACGTGGCCCATGCTCCACAGTACCGCGCACATTTTTCGTCTTACGACAGCGGTGAATTTACCACGTCGTAGCCAGCGTTTCTTGCAATCATGCCACTTCCACATGTTGCTCATGCTCCACATTAGGCGCGCACATCCTCGGCCTTGCGCCTGCGGTACATTTACCACGTCGGAACGAGCGTTGTTTGCAACCACCCCTTGGATTACAAAATGGTGATCGGCACTCTACGAGGGCGGCGTGGAAAGCGACTGGATATTTCCTGCGGGAGGTAATATCAAGCGGAATCTTCTTCCTCAGGTACCATGAGAAGCAACCAGACATGTAGTGCGAGGAAGTCCCGATCGAAATCGCAGTTTCTTGATGGCATGGCGCAGTTCCTGATCGCTTTGGAGGGCGATCATAATTTGCTGTCAGGAAGTAATGGGCGGAATGCCATTGCCTGATGCGGTCCCCAAAAGTCTTTGATCAGATCAAAAGAGGTGAGGGTTGCATCATCAGCTCAGAACTCAGCTTTAAATTCAAGATTGTCCCAAGGTCCCGCGGCCCAACGGGAGCCCAGCCATGCTTTACGCGATCCCCGCGGTCAGCATGTTTTAACCCAGCGGGCGGTAGCTTCCAAAACGGCCGGGCAGCGATGCTTGAATCTCGATCCTTTTGGCCCCTTTCCTCCCTCCTCTTCTTCATCTGCCAAGCTCCTCCTGCCCACCCCTCGTCTTCCGCTGTCAAACTCCTCCCCCCTCCGCACCCCTCCTCCCCTCCCTCCTCCTGCCCCTTCCCCCCCTCCTCGTCCCTGCCCCCCCTCTCTCTTCTTCCTCCCCCCCTCCCTTCCCCCTCCCCCCTCCCGCCCTCTTCCCTCCTCCCTCCTCCCTCCTCGATTCGATCCTCCTCCTCCCTCCTCGATCCTCGAACCCCCCCCCTGGCCGCAGGACCTCATGCGGCTGCCGCCCGGCGCCACCGGCTCCGACCTGTTTGGGAGCGCCCATTTCCGCCTGCACGTGCGCAGGCGGGGGGGGGGGGCAAATGGGAGGAGCGACGATGGAGATTCGAGGAGGAGGGAGGGAGGAGGAGGAGGAGGAGGAGAGGAGGAGGAGGAGGAGGAGGAGGAGGAGGAGGAGGAGGGAAAAGGAGGAGGAGGAGGAGGAAGAGGAGGAGGAGGAGGAGGAGGGAGGAGGGAGGAGGGAGGAGGGAGGAGGGAGGAGGAGGAGGAGGAGGAGGAGGAGGAGGAGGAGGAGGGAGAAGGGAGGAGGGAGGAGAGGGAGGAGGAGGAGGGAGGAGGGAGGGAGGGGGAGGGAGGAGGAGGAGGAGCAGGAGGAGCAGGAGGAGCAGGAGGAGCAGGAGGAGCAGGAGGAAGGAGGAGGAGGGAGGAGTGAGGGAGTGAGGAGTGAGGAGTGTGAGGAGGAGGGAGGGAGGAGGGAGGAGGGAGGAGGGGAGGAGGAGGAGGAGGAGGAGGAGGAGGAGGGAGGAGGAGGAGGAGGATGGAGGCAGGAGGTACGTCGAGGTTCGAGGGATGGAGAGAGGGAGGAGGGAGGGAGGGACGAGGAACGAGGAGGGAGGATGGCGGAGGGAGTTCGAGGAGGGAGGCAGGAGGATGAGGAGGCGGAGGAGGAGGAAGATGAGGAGGAGGAGGGATAATTGAGGTCGAGGTTCAATGTTCGAATGGTTTTGTTTTCCACGTCCTCTGTGGGGTTCTTGTTTTCGCAGCAAATCCCCCTGGCAGAAAACTCGCGCCCCTCTCCTTTCACACTTATCATCTTCATTACCACCACTCATCGTCATCACCACCACCATCAGCATCATCGCCATCATTACCAACAGCTGCATCATCAACACCACCATCACTCATCACCACCATCACTCACCACTCGCCGTCATCGTTCACATACAGACGCACTCACATCATCATCATCATCATCATCATCATCATCATCATCATCATCAGCATCATCATCATCATCATCATCACCATCATCATCATCATTATCATCATCAGCAGCAGCAGTTACATCATCATCATCATCATCATCATCATCATCATCATCATCATCATCATCATTATCATTATCATCATCAGCATTACTCATCATCACCATCACCATCATCATCAGCAGCATCATCATCGTAATCATCGTCATCAGTACCCCCACGGACGCACACAATTGCGCGCTCACGCACTCATACACTCGTACACTCGTCTTTAGGAAGTCTCGAGCGGGAGGTTCGTCTGTAAGTCAGGTGCAAGGAAGTTTGAGGCGGGCGCCCCATCCTTATGGGTCCTTCACTTCATGTTCGTAATGCGAGGCGGCCATCGGCAAACCTGTAAAAGTGCATTGTGTTGTGTTGTGGTCATCGAGTCGCCAGAAGTCCGTTTCCAGTATATTAGTTTCGAGTGTCCAGAGCCAGCTGTTGGCCACCTCGTGCTCTTCGAGTTGCCAGAACTCCATTCCCAAGCTTCAATATGCATGTCGGGAGCCACCGTAATCCACGTCGGGCTCTTCGTGCTTCCAAGATTGCACTCTTAGGGCTTGCTCTGCATGTCTGGTGTCAACTGTAGACCGCTTCTGCGTGTTTGTGCTCCCAGAGAGCCAGTTCGCATTGTTCGTGTTCCATACGCTCAGGCATTTGAATAGAGAAAGTCTGGGGCGGCAGCACCTTTTGAGAGTCAGGTGCAAGGAAGTCTCCGGCGGGAGAGCCCTCTTTATGGGGCCCGCATTTCATGTTAACCTTGCGAGGCGGCCATCTGCAAACATCTAAAACACACATTGCCTTGTGATCATCGATTCGCTAGAAATCCATTCCCAATATTTATTCATACTTCCTAGAGCCAGCTGTGGGTGACTTCGTGCTCTTCGAGGTGCCAGAACTCCGCTCCCAGGCAACATTCTGCATGCCCGGAGCCAACCGCAAGCCATTTCGATTGCTCCCAGAATTCCATTCGGGGGGGGGGGATTTCGCACGTCTGGAGCCAACTGCTGGCCGCTTCGGGTTTTCGTGCTCCCAGAGCTTTCTTTCCTGGGACTCACTATGAATGTCCGGAGCCCACAGTCGGCCGCTTCGAGCTCTTCATGCTCCCAGAATTCCAATGCTGGGAATGATTGTGCATTCGACTTTTGGCATCTTCTCATCCTGGGAAGTTGGTGCCCTGGCGTCATTGGTATGTCTCGTACGGATCGTTGGCGTCCCTGGCATCCGACGCATCCAGGCACAGGCCTCGCAGGTCTGACAGAGTCTCACATGTCATGAAATCGAGCCTTCACTCACACACTCACGCACCCACTCCAACACTCCCCACACACATGGTCACATGTACGCACGCACACACAAGCACATTCATCTTGGAGTAGTTTCGAGTGGGAGCCTCGTCCGTGAGTCAGTTGCGAGGAAGTCTCGAGCGGGAGCCCCCTCCCTATAAGGCCCGCGCTTCGTGTTATCAATCTGTTGCCGCCATCGGAATACATGTAACAAATGCAGCTTTGGTGACACTTCCGAGCTTGGGTCTTGAAGACGTCTCGAGCGGAAGTCTGGTTCCTGGCTTTCTTTGAGGATATCCTAGGCGCTCGCATGTGAGTGAAGTGCGAGGATGTTTCGAGCAGGAGCTCCCTATCTATAGGGCCACAGCTTCACGGTGTACATCTGAGGAGTCCATCGGCCTACTCTGTCAAAGCATAGGCGTGGTGACACCTGAGAGCTCGAATCTCGAGGACGTCTCGAGCAGGAGCATCCTTCCCGAGCAACTTGTCACGCTGTTTCGAGCGAGGGCCTCGTCTGTGGATGTGTCGCGAGTGAGTCTCGAGCGGGAGCCCTCGGAGCGCATCAAAAGGCAACAAGAAGTCAAAGAAGGCCTCAGGAAGCCACAGGAAGCTTCCGGAGGCCCCAGGCGACCCCAGGAGGCACAAGGAAATCCTGGGAGACCCCAGAGCCACCAGGAAGCCCCCATGAGGCCACAGAGGCCACAGGAGGTCCCAGTCAGAAGACTCCAGGAGGCCCCGGGAGGCCTCAGGAGACTCCATGAGGCCGGGGGAGGATCCAGGCGGCAACAGGAAGCCCCAGGAGGAGGCAGGAGACCCCAGGAGGAGGAGGAGGAGGAGGCAGCAGGAGGATGCAGGAGGAGGAGGAGGAGGAGGAGGAGGAGGAAGCAGGAGGATGCAGGAGGAGGAGGAGGAGGAGAGGAGGGAGGACGGAGAGGAGGAGGACAAGAAGGAGGAGGAGGAGGAGGAGGAGGAGGGAGGAGGAGGGAGGAGGAGGAGGAGGAGGAGGGAGGATAAGGAGGAGGGAGGAGGAGGAGGAGGAGGAGGAGAAGGAGGCGGCAGGTTGAGGAGAAGGAGGAGGAGTTGGAGGAGGAGGAGGGAGGACGAGGAGAGGAGGAGGAGGAGGAGGAGCAGGAGCAGGGATGCAGGAGGAGGAGCAAGAGGAGGAGGAGGAGGAGGAGGAGGAGGAGGAGGAGGAGGAAGGAAAAGGAGGAGGACGAGTAGGACCAGTAGGAAGAGGAGGAGGAGGAGGAGGACCAGAAGGAGGAGGAGGAGGAGAGAGAGGAGGAGGAGGAGGAGGGGAGTAGGCGGAGGAGGAGGAAGAGGCGGCGGAAGAGGGAAGAGGAGGAGGAGGAGGAGGAGGCAGGTTGAGGAGGGAGGAGGAGGTGGAAGAGGAGGAGGAGGAGGAGGAGGAGGGAGGATAAGGAGGAGGAGCACGAGGAGGAGGAGGAGGAGGGGGGGGGGTGAGGCATGACGAGGTGGAGGAGGAGGAGGAGGAGGAGGAGGAGGAGGAGTTGGAGGAGGAGGCAGCAGGAGGATGCAGGACGAGGAGGAGGAGGCAGGAGGAGGAGGAGGAGGAGGAGGAGGAGGAGGAGGGAGGAGGAGGAGGGGGAGGCAGGACGAGGAGAAGGATGAGGAAGAGGAGGAAGGTGACCAGTGTAAGCACAAGACTCGTTCTGATGTTGCACTACGCCCTCCCTCTAAGTTCCCTCTTCAAAAAGGGGCCCTACGGGAATTTCTCGTCTGATCTCGTCTGCCGCCCCAGCCAGCTTAACGTCGCCCCGTCGCCGCTCGTCGCCGCCCGTCGCCGCCTCGTCGCGGGCTCGTGCGCCGCGCCGGCCGGCTTGTCGTCGCCCCGTCGCGGCTCCGTCGCCGCTCGTCTCTGCCCGTCGCCGCCTCTTCGCCGCCCGTCGCCGCCACATTTTGCACCATTTAGATTGCACTGCGTAGCTTGCACCACTTAGATCGCATCACATGGATTCTCCTTCCCAAGTAGAAGTTAGAATCTATCACTTTCCCGGGGTTGATCACGCTTCCTTGGGATAGGACGATTGGCATATGATTCGGCCCCACCTTTCCTTCGATATCTGAATTCATACCATCCCAGCCAGGCAGGTGCCGCCCCCCCACCCTCCTCACCCTCGTCAAATAGTAATACACGCGCACACTCGGTCATCAGCTTTCAATAATCCCATGCAGCAATGTCCACACGCGCGCGTCGTCGCGCGCGCATGTCGAAATTATTCAAACACCTTTGGTTTCAGATTGGTTTCACGATCGAGGTTCCCGAAAACATATTACACAATATCCAGGCGAAGGACCCAACCATATGCAGTTTTGAGTACCACATTGTGGGTACCGCGTTCGGTGAAGCTCCCTATGGGGCCACGAAGCGCGTGAGGGATGTGGCGCAATGGGCGGGGAAGACGCATGCGAACTTTGCCATTGGGGTCTTCGATGGAGCTCCCTATGTGGCCACGAACCGCTGTATTGGGTTTGGGGGGGCGCATACGAACTTTGCTAGTGGGGCCTTCGGTGGAGCTCCCTATGGGGCCACGAAGCGCTGTACTGGGTGGGGGGACGAATGCGAGCTTCGCCAGTGGGGCCTTCGGTGAAGCTCCCAATTGGGCCACGAAGCGTTGTACTGGGTGGGGGAGACGCATGCGAACTTTGCCATTGGGGCCTTCGGTGGGGCTCCCTATGGGGCCACGAAGCGCTGTCCTGGGTGGGGGAGACGCATGCGGCTGCGGCCACTGGG